AATGTACTCACTTCACTATCTCAAAGAAAATTTGTATGCTGAAAATATCTTACAATATATATTCATCGTTACATGAAAGAGGAATGTGTTTATAGAGTACTTGAAAATCCTTCTAAAGGAGTTGGCGTTTTATTTCGCTCCTGAATCTGTAAGCAGATAAAGGAAGGACTCGCTCTGCAGCGTCAGACCATGGGCCGTCATCTATGTTAGGGTCCTGCAAGAAGCAGTTTAGGCCTGAAGGGAGCTCAATTCACCAAGTGGCTTCTGTGCGTTGGAATTGCTTTACTGTTGAGTTTGCTGCCCTCTAGCTTCCCGTAGGCATAGTTCTTCTGCATGTAGGTCAGGATTTGTGAGGAAGGAAAGAAAAGTCTTCATCTGGACAGATTGCAGACTGGCTGACTGAATGAATGAGCTTGCCATACATGCCCCTCCCCAGTAGCAGCAGAACTTCTTTATGGCTCAGGCTTGGCTTGGCAATCCGATTGGAAATACATGGATGGGAGGTGTATTGAGCTACATTTGTCTAGCAAACTCATTGCTTTTACTTAACCAACCAGTTGTCATTGAGTTGACTCTGACTCATGGTGACCCCATGTATCTCAGAATAGAACTGTACTCCATAGGGTTTTCAATGGCTAATTTTTTGGAAGTAGATTACCAGGCCCTTCTTCCAAGGTGCCACTGGGTGGACTCAGACCTTCAGTTTTTGGGTTAGCAGTCGAGAACTTTAGCCGTTTGCGTGATGTTTGTTAGTTAGAGAGGCTTGGGGAGAGATTGACGAGGTTTTTCCTCTACCCCAATTTATCCCCTGGCCACGGTCCCCTATCAGAAGACCTTGCTATTTTCAAGTGGGGATGATGTTCTGCCTCCACCATTGGTTTTATAATCATAGGAACCGCCTGATGTTGTTGTCATTCCTGTGGTGTAATTGGATTTTCCAAATTACTTTCCATAAAATAGCCATTCCTGTTTCTTAAACATCAATGAAAAGTAAGGCTTTGTTTCTTTTCTGCTTTAAGAAGCTTCCCACTGTTGGATTAAAAAAAGGTATGGTGTGGGGAGGTGACAGAGTGCAGGTGAGATTCAAGATGCCCATTGCCTGAGCTGGTGGCCTTTGGCTGTCTGTCTTGGTTCCCTAGGGCTTCCATAACACAGATACCGCAAGTGGGTGGTTTAAAGAATAGAACTTTAATTTCTCCCAGTTCAGGAGGCTAGAAATCTGATTTTAGGGCATCAGCTCTAGCGGACGGTACACTTTGTCTCTTTCAGTGTCTAGTAGCTGCCAGCTGTCCTTGGCGTTCCTAGGTTTGTAGATGCAACTGTCTCCATCA